AGCAGCAGCAGCAGCAGTGACAGTAGCGGCAGCAGCAGCAGCAGCAGCAGCAGCAGCAGTGACAGTAGCGGCAGCAGCAGCAGCAGCAGCAGCCGCAGCAGCAGCAGCAGCAGCAACAACAACAGCAGCAGCAGTGACAGTAGCGGCAGTAGCAATGGTCCCTCGCGACTAAACAGTTTTATGCTCCGCAAAACCCAAGGCCCTTGATACTCAAAAAGGTTGTTTCCAAAAATCAGAAACCTCAATGGCACCTAGGACGACCCGTGATATAAGCGACCCCCATGCAGACAAGGAGCCCCAAATTGTAAGAATCCCTTTATCTCGCGCTGCTCTTTCCCATATGCACCCCAAACCCTAAACCCTAAAAAAACCCGAAACCCTAAACCCCATAAAACCCCGCAAACCTTCAATCCTGTCGGCCTTTTTGGCTGCCGGCGCAGCTTTTGGTGTCGCCTTGGGCCTGCTCCAACGACTTGGATCATCGGGGTGCTGGTTGCCTGGGTTTTTGTTAAGGAACTTAATTTTAAAGCTGCCGTAATAGGGATCTATAGTAAAGAATAGTGTACTTATTAGAATAACTGGAAATTAGATCCCTCAACAACAACCCAGCTACTGGAGGAGAAAATCCGGAAGAGGATATCAGCGTGTCAGATGAACCTTGACTTGAATTTAAGGTGTAGATCTCAGGGCTTAGGCTTTTAAGTTTTAAGGCTTAGCTGACTGCAGCATAGTGAAGATGCTGGCGGTTCGAAAACAGCTGCAGTATAAACGCCGTGACTTTGGCACGGTATCTGGCCGCAAGAACCTGAGTAGTTATCACGTCATGTTGTAAGCTTGACGAAGAGCTGGCCTGAGTAGAATCTTGCGGGCGGCTCCCAAGTAGTCCGGAAACTTGTGTGTACAGACAGGGCCAGGATTGTGACGGACGCATCGTATTTAGGGTTAAAGAGGGTGCGCATTCAGAGACAGGGGATGCATGACATAGGATGCCATCTTTGTATCAAGGCAAGGCAATGACACAGACCGACTTCCGAGGAGCAATCTGCACTTCTGCTTCATCCAGCCGATTAGAAAGATTATAGACAGCGTGCATCTCAATCTGAAGCCGTCCACGCAACAGTGAACATCGTTTATACATGATGGCGAAAAGGCTGCACTAAATATGCTATGTAGAGATCATCATGACATTCCATCATACTTATGCTGACAATGATGCTGCTGCCTGGGCCATGCGAAGATGATGCTGATGCTGCTACTTATGATGACTATGCGTCTGTCGCTGCTCAACACCAACGCCGGTAGCCTCGGCACAGGCAAAGACTGTGTCGACTGCGGTGTCGAGCCGGGAGTGCGTCCTCCGACGAGAGTGGGGTACAGATTCAGGGCTAGATAGATTGATAGATCTCGAGCTAGATAGATAGTTGGATAGATAGATGGGCAGCGAGGTAGGTAGGTAGATAATTACATAGATACAGAGAGAGAGAGAGAGAGAGAGAGATATATATATATATATATAGGAATCCCTGGAAGGCCCAAAACACTTTTTGGTGCCTGGAAACATGAACCCAAGGCTTCCTTACACGGGGCTCTATAGAGACATGGGCTTTAATACCTCGACTAAGTGGCCTTAATAATTCGAATAGGGTTTTGGGGGTAAATTTTTCCTATAGATCATAAGAAGGAACCCCCCTCAAAAACAAAAAGCATTGCTAACTATTTAGGCCCCTGTATTAGAGTTCTTTTGAGGCGAAGCCCCAGTCCTCGCGAAGGTGGAGTCCGCGCATTGCCTCGACCGGCCTGGGTCCGAAGCAGTCGCCAGGAGAGCGGTCCACAAAAAACCCGGAGCACTCAACTCACCGGGGATTCGGGAATCACCGCCCGCATTAAGGGTCTCGATGTCTGCACTAAGTGCAAGTTTCACCTGAATAGAAGGCTAGACTGTGGACCAAAACAGCTCACTGATGCCGTTTGTAAGATCCAGGCTTTCCTGCTATCCAGAAGTCCAGTCTGCATCTAGGTCCCAAGGTTTTGTCGCATGGACAGATCAACATTGCAGCTCTGCTGTTCTTGTTGGGACTTTGTGACCCTATAAACCCTAAACCGTGTGCGCGTAACGCCTAAGCCAGCCCGCATCCCGACCGGGAAATTGGATGACCATAGCCTCGAGGGCTGCAGTCGGTCCGAACCCTGAAATCGCAAGCTCGATCATCGCTATGCCTCTAAACAAGCGTGCACTTTAACTTTTAAGCGCTGTGTTTCAATGAACCCTGAAATCTGTCAAGATAAACCCTGCAACCTACACCGAGACTTTTTTCCAGCGCGTGCAAACACGTCAAACAATCAGCTCGCCAGGAGGTACCTTGGCCGTCCGGTCGCAATCAACATTCTCTGGAACAGGCCCCGGCTCTTTTGATTTGTTACATATTTATCTGCCTGTCCTTACATGAAACGACTTAGGGTGTATTCTGATGGCTGGATGAAGGCCTCTACTACGGTGTACGAGAAAAAATCAAAGTCACAGCATGTCGAAGTGCTAAAGCTGTAATGCTCTTCGAAAGTAACCACACTGCCCAAACAGAAACAAACAGAAACTCTGAAGCAGGGAGCTTGCCGGTGCAGTGTGCTTTATTTGTTGCTGTTTGCAGGGTGAGAGAGGCGAGTTTCGATCGCCTTGAGGCAGTAACAGCAGATAGCGAAGCCCAAATTTCTCCGTTCTCTCTCGGTGCATCTCTGACTGAAAGGCTTTTCTTATTCTCCTCTTCAACACGAGCTCAGGGCAGGTAATTACCGCGGCACACCCTCGGTTCACAAGTCACGAGATGGAAAAAAGCCCCGAACCTAAACACGTGGCGGCAGTCGATGTGTCCTTCTCAAGTGGTCGACTTTGCCCGTACGGGCAGAAAAGCACGGAATCGCTGCCATACAGAAAGCTCAAACTCTGAGAGTGAGGGTGATGGTGGTGGCACAGACAATGTTCAAGACTCTCAAGACAAATCCGAAGCGTAAAGCATAGACTTAGCCAGCGCCCATCTTAAGACGGCCGTCTAAGAGGCCCTCGCAGAGAGGAGCCCCATGAGCTCAGGTTTGCAAAGCTGCGACGGACGCTGTCACGAAAGACCATGGCTTCCTGGGTTGCAGCGGGCTGTCTGTCCGTTCTTCGCTCCGTCTGCTTTGGGTTTAGGAGTGAACATCTCTTCTTGCGGGTTTGCCTTGCGACGGGTTTGCTTTGATCCTCTCGCAACAGCTCCAGGCTCCGGAAGCTGAAATCAACCCCACCACGAAAGCTGAAACTCAACTCCGTCCACTTTGAAGCCGACCTCCTACATGGATAGATCGAGGGGCAGCTCCATCGCCACGCTGAGGAAGCCGTCGGAGCAGTGGGTAGCGACGAGAAAGGCTTGGGGCGCAACCTTCCTCACATCAGGGCGTGGTACAAGGTCCATTCTTCATCGTGGGGCTTTGAGGCTATGCGAAGAATTGAATCCGGATGTGCATGTGGCTGCTTGGTTTAGGGAAGGCTGAGCGAGACCTGTTTGTCAAGCTTGAAGTTTCGGGGGTTTAGGCTCTTAAGGTTCCGGGTTGACAGAGAGATCTTGCTTGACCATTTGAGAGAGAGTGACGGACCATGCGTGCACTGATGTATCGAAGGAGGGTCTCTCTCTGCCTAGCCATGCACCAGAACACTGCATCTCGACCCACACCTGCGGACAAACATGAGGCCCATGGTTTATTCTTCATCATGAGGTCAGAGTCTCAGCTGCATCGCAGGCCAGATTTGATCCTAGGGTCTCCGGCTCCCATGGAGGATTCACATCCGCCAAGTTGGGGGCAGTGAGAACGCAGGCGTGAACGGCAGGTAGGGGCCAAGGCCACCTCTCAAGGAGAACCGCTCTCGTTTCGGACCACGAACCAATGGTTCACTCAACAGCACAAGTGCATCGGGCGCATTGGCTACGAGCTTCACCGGGCTTGTATGATAAGACAGAAAGGGAAACACACCTCGGAGCCACAAGGAGCAGGGCCGTGAGTGAAGCTTTCCTTGTGTTTATCTTCGCTTGTGCAGGCTGCTCAATCAGCACTTCGCTTGTCTATGTCCCGCAGCTGCCTGAGGTGCGCTTTATCTTCTGCGAGCTCAGCTGCTTGAGTCTCTTCTTGAGTTGTACGGCGCATCCGTGCGGCGGGTTTAATGTATTGTTTGCATTTGTTTGCAGTTGTTGAGGGTTGCTTCAGCTGCGCTAGTGCTTGGTTCTGAGCTTTTTCTCCCTGCTGAGCTCTCCTTGCTTTAATTCTGTGTCGGCTTGCATCTCCGTTTCAAGCATCGCACTTTCGGTGAGTGCTTCCTTGGAGGTAAGAAAGCACAAACAAAGGGCTTTCGGCTTAACGATTAAGGGAGCAGCTGCCAGGCAAGCATGGCGAAAGCCTGAACACCACAAACAAAGCAGAAAAGCAACACCACCCCAGTTTCACAAAACACCTTTTCCTACCTGCACTCCTACTGCTACTGTCCTTGTAAGAAGACACCGTGCCTAAGGTTTGCAGAAGCAGCCGGGCCTCAATCGCACAGTGAGATTGGCCTGCGTCGTGTCCCAGTTTACCACACGAAGTCCTATGCTTTGGTTTTGCGACCTCGGATGCAGGAGTGATGCAAGCAAGGCAGGTCCAACATCAACCAAAGTGAAACGAGGTCGGAATTAGAAACAGCAAACCGTAGCCTTAAGCAATGTCGCGCTAGCACACTCATGACACCATGCCCTCATCACCTCAACATCACCATGCTAAGACTTTGGAAAACTGTTCTTGCCACCGCGCGCATTTGGTCATTAGGCACGTCACGAATATAGGAAGAAGCATCTCAAAGCAACGCAACCCACACCTGTGGACATTCTGCAGCAGACACGACTATGACGGTGATCTTGGTGAGCATGGCGCGGATGACAATGTGAATGATGACTTGGTTGTTGATCGTGAACTGACGACCAAAGCTGTAAAGATCAAGAGCGATGGTGCTGCTGGCTATGACTATACCACGATATGACAGCGCTGATTAGCAGGATGACGAAGACGACAAATATCTGGTTGATAGTCCGTTTCAATGGTTTGGGCATCAGTGCTAAGCAACAGCGGCAGCAGCAAATCGGGTGCAGGAGAGTCAGCGAAGACATCGTATTCGTCAGTGACGCAGCTGCGGCTCAAGCGACGACAGCGGTTTGCCTAGCTCCATTTTGAAGATCTAGCAAAAGGGTTTGTCGCATAGGGAGAACGCGAAGCAGAGCTGCCAGGATGCTGATACGCTCCGATGTCCACTCTGACAGCCGCGGAACTTTTGGACACGGCCAGCGGGACGTAGAAATCCTACAGGGTTCACAGGCACTGAAACTCAACCTTCGATCTCTCTAGAAGCCCAGATGCGGGCGTGCTTATACAAAGCACGAGATAAGCAAGAGAGCTCGGATCGATTGCATCACGGAGGGAAGCGCCGAGTGCATTCGTTCAGTAGTAGCAGTGATGGCATTCTGGGGTGCAGCAAGCAAATGGAAAGCTTTATACGGCAACTTCTGCTACCTCTCCCTGAACATGCAGGCTTCAGCACAGCTTCTTGGAATGAGGCACAGCTCGTTGAAAAGGTAGGGATTTCAGGTTTATGCACTCGGCCGCCCAAAAGCTCCGATCCCCGTGAACCCCCGCACATAACCGTCGTGCATCGCTTTGTAGTTAGGGTGGACGTTGCAGGTAGCCGCCTATAGACAGTCATACATCAGACGGTCAACAGGCATCTCCACATCACATAGCATCAATATTCGAAAAAGACTGATTCGCTCTTTGCTCCTAGATTGAGCAGAGCTTCTACTCTTGCCAAAAGCCTATGTTCGGGGGCCAACACTGCAATGAAAGATACAGGCGTTCTCTGGATTCCTTCACTGTATGGCCGTATGGACAACATCGTTGCAGTTGGTGTTACTCACAAACAAAACTCAGAGGCACTCGCCTCACAGCGAGGGACAGCTTGTCTGGCGCCCTTGTGTGGCACACATCTGTTGTACATTGACGGATTAGATGGTCTTGTGCAATGCCCACCGGTGGCAGCAAGATCACCCCTAGCAGCAGCAGCAGCAGCAGCAGCAGCAGCAGCAGCAGCAGCAGCGGCACCACCACCACCACCACCACCACCACCACCACCACCACAGCCGCCGCCACCGCCGCCACCGCCGCCACCGCCACCGCCGCCACCACCACCGCCGCCACCGCCACCGCCACCGCCACCGCCGCCACCGCCACCGCCGCCGCCATCACCACCACAAGTTGGGAAACAAACACATCGAAAAGCCGATTCCAGTTGAATCAGTCGGCAGCCCATCAGCCGCTTGGATCACAAGACAGCACAAGCATCGCCTTCGCATGCTGCGACAGCATGGCCTGCGCCCAGCCGTAAGGAGTTAACCATACCTGCACCAGGTGACAAAACGGCGAGCTCAGGGGGCTGTCTGGACTGCAGGTCGACAAATTGCAGAGTGGAAGTACATGGTCAGAGCTTGAACCTCAGCTTTTCGGTGGTACCAAAACAAGGGGCTGTCTGTTGGACCTCAGGCTCAGAAATCCAGCTGGCCACTCTTAGCTTAAGCCAAACGCAGCTTGCTTCCCAACCTTTGAACCCTAGGAAGGCTGCCTGGTCCTGTCTGACGGTCACTACAACGAAACCTTCGCACGGTCAGGTGAGGACCCATAATCTGCCTTGTCGGGTGTCATCATGATCTGCCCCTGCACGAGAGGAGAAGATGGCTACAGGGTGAAGAAGGCAAGGGTCAATGTCAGGTGGCGCAATGATTGCTGAGTTGAACCTTCCGATGGCAAACTTCGACCGATCCGAACGGCAGTCATGCTGCCAATAGGCACCGCACTCACGCAAGGTGTCACAAGTGGTTTTGAGCCCCACAGCCAAGACGACCAGTGCACAAAGGCGGAGTGAATCTTGGTACATTGTACCGAAAGGCCCTTTACTTTACCAGTCACCAACCCGGCACAACAAAGGTCACCACCTCCACCACCGCCATCGCAAACCGCCATCGCCACCACTACCATCACAACCACCACCACAGCTACCACGACTGGGACCGGTTCTGCCACAATCCTTCTGGTCCGACCGAAAAGGCCTAAAGAAAAACTCTACCCAGCGAGTGCAGTCCGATGCCGTCCTGGTCCCAGCCGTTGTCGTTTTGGGTGAAGACCTGCAGGCCATTCGCGGCGGCATCGAGCTGAAAAAAGGCTCCTGAGCTCGGTTCTGCAGAGCGTCGGGTTTGCCACGGTTTGGGGCTTGGGGTTTATACGCTTCCCTGAACCCTAAACCCTCTAAACCCTAAACCCCTGAACCCTAAACCCTAATCTAAATCCTATAAACCCCAAAACCCTAAACCCTAAAACCCCACATAAACTCTAAACCCCTAAGGCCCTAAACCCTAAATTAGGATCCCGGGGCTGTCAGTTTCGAGGCTGTTTGCTGAGGACTGAAAGCTTCATGGCCGAGCAAAGGCGGCTCCTCTCATGCCCGACTCGCCTTAACTACGGATGTGCACATGATGCCTGAAGCAAGGGCTCCAAGTTGTACGAATATGAGCCAGTTCTCAACTTGCAGCTTCTTCACAGCCCAGTCGCCGTGATATGACGACAGAATGTTGAAGCGCGCGTGCACAAGGGCTCGCCTGATCGGAACTTACAAGATGACCGGATGAGCGGTATAAGAAGCATAACAAGTTCAACCTGTTTGCCTTTCATCTCTGTAATGTAAACGCTATGGCCGCGAGGAACACATAGAATCTGAAAGCCTGAGGCCCAAATGCCTAACTGAAGACAGCAGTATACGGCACTGCAAACAGCAGTTACACTCTTACTCGCTGTTGTCGTAGCCGTTTTCACGATGGTGGTAGCACCAGTATCCTTGCAGTATGCTGCAGCAGCGTTTGCGCTAGCCGGGGTCTTTTTGCAAGACTCATGACACCTGTCAACTTTCGGGATCGCGGCATCCATTAGTTGCTGTTGTTGCGTTTGCCGCTGTGTTGCTGTCGCTGCTGTTTCCTCTCGTCTGATCTTCTGCGGCCGTGCATCATGTTTGCACTATTGACCTTGTTCTGGCGTGGATTGCCGTTGCTGTCTTGTTGCCGTTCACGACCACGGAACAGCCGAATAAGCCCGCAGCAAACTGGCTGCCCTGGCCTTCATGCGGCCAAGACTCTGAAGGTCATGGGTATTTCCATTCTCTTCAAACGCAACGAGCTTTGTGGCACCAGCTCGCCTCATGTTCTGGGGCTTCGAGGATCTCATGCAGGCTTCACTTTATTACCGGTGAGATTCTGTTTGCTGGTTTAGTGTTCGGGGCCTTGGGGGTCCACATTCCTCTTTGAAAAGAAAGTCCCATCCTCAGCTTCCAGCCCAGCGGTGTCTTGTCTCTGAGGCTTGTGCGGCCCACAAAACCGAAGAGTCAGAGAAGTGGCAAGCATGCAACATAAGGATGCCCAGTGTTTAATAGAACTGAATGTACGAGGCGTAGGATACTTTTCAGAAAGCTGAGCACCTCGCCGAAAGAATTCGGAGCTTGCTTGCAGTAATGCTCGAAAGTCATCAACATCTGAGAAGGCGTCACCTGGCCACCCGGATCCCTTGGTTTGTGCATATGAACGGGTTTACATGGGTGTGTGTGTATATATATAGATATGTGTATCAAAGGTGTATGTTTGGTAAATACTCACACACACTCTCACACACACACTCTCTCTCTCTATGTATATGTATATATATATATGTATATGTGTGTATACATATATATATATATTGGCGGGTTCGTGGAACAGGTTTTCTAAACTCATGCTTTTGGGAGGCCAGCGAGGGCGACAACCGTTGATTTTCCACACACACGGCTCGGCTTTTCCACGCTTAACCGGCCCGGTTTTCCACACAAAAGCGGCTGTTTTTCCACATCAAAGTGGCTGGTTTTCCACACCGACAGGCCCTGTCTTCCGCACCAAACGTGCTGCTTTTCCACCCCAAAATCATACCAAAGCGGCCGGCTTTCCACGCCACAGCGGCCGCTTTCCAACATGAAAACGGTCGGTTTTTCTGCATCAAAATTAAAATGCGCCAAACGACACTGCTCTCCACGTATACAAGAGTCACAAGAGTTACAAGACTTGTTTCGCACAGCAGCCACAGCGTGAAGATGGCAATACCCAAACCATGAATTAATTTCATTTGCCCCACAAAGTTGTGGAAAAGACTTCTGCTGATACGGATAAGATGCGGACAAAAATTGTGGATAGGTTGTGGAAGAACTTCTTGCTGATGCGGAAAACTTTGTGGACAAACTTTGTCCGATGCGGAAAGATTTGCGGAAAACTTTGTGGACAAACTTTGTCCGATGCGGAAAGATTTGCGGAAAACTTTGTGGAAAAACTTTGTCCGATGCGGAAAGATTTGCGGAAAACTTTGTGGAAAAACTTTGTCCGATGCGGAAAATTTTGTGGAAAAAACTTTGTCTGGTGCGGAAAGATTTGCGGAAAATCTTGTGGAAGAAATATTGAAACCTGTTGGTTCTAAACTTTTAGCATAAAAAAGTTTAGACTAAGCAGGTTTCGCAGCTGCCACACCGCACATTTTCCACAAACCTTTCCGCATTCGGTTCATGTTTATCCACAACCTTTTCCGCAAATCTTTCCGCATCAGAACAATTCCGTTCCATTTTCCACATCAACAGCAGGTTTTTCCACAACCTTTTCCCTATAATCTTTCCGCATCAGAAAATGTTTTTCCACAAATCTTTCCGCATGAGCAAAAGTTTTTCCACAACCTTCTCCGCAAATCTTGACACACAAACATCCGCAACCTTTTCTGAAAACGTTTCCGCACAAGAAACGTGCTTTCCACAACGTTTTCCGCAAATCTTTCCTCGAAAACAAAAGTTTGTCCACAACCTTTTCCGCAAATCTTTCCGCAAAAGAAAAAGCTGTTCCCACAACCTTTTCCGCAAAAAGCTTTCCGCAAGAGAAGTTGTGTCCACAGCTTTTTCCGCGCTTGAACCGGGAAATGTCTCAAACTTTCGCAATCTACTCTGTTGAATCCCAAATTCGCGTGGAACTTGTTGTTTGATGTTAAGTTCGTGCGGAAAAGCTTGCTGTTTGACGCCAAGGAAAGCCTCTGTTTAACCCGGAATTCGTGTGGAAAAAGTTCCTGTTTACCGCCAAATTCGTGTGGAAAAACTCTCTGTTTGACTCCAAGTTCGTGTGGAAAAACGCCTGTGCAGAGCATCTTCATGAGGCTAAATGAGCCAGCATTTGGCGAGTTTAGAAGGACCCTCGAAACGTGTTTCACGAACCCCCGAATATATATATATATACATACATACATATGTGTGTGTGTGTGATTGTGTTGTGTGTGTGTGTTTGGTTCATTTCTTGCTTGCGTGCTTGCTTGCTTGCTTTGTTGCGTCCTTGCTTGCCTATTGTGCTTTGTGTGTTTGCTTGTTTGTCTGCTTACTTTTCGCTTGTGCTCTTATTGCTTGGCTGTTTGCCTGCTGTTTTGAAGCCCCACTTCCCCATCGCCCTGTACTGGGGAGCCTCCGATGTGGGCATCCCACGCGGCAGCCCCGCCGAAAGGCTTCAAAACTGCCAGCCTCTGCTCAGGTCTCGCAGGTTATACTGGTGCTTCTGACGAGTCTAACACACCAGTCCCATTGATCTTGCTGAGAAGCCAGCCTCCAGCGCTAATGCACTCTGCAACCCTACAACTCGAATGCTTTGAGCCCTGATCTTGCCCGAGCATCGGACATTTTCGTGGTTAGTGAGCGCCCCTCGGCCGTGTCGAAGTTGGGCGTCCTGGGCTTCGAGCCCGAGCAAGGCCGGGGTCTGAGCTTCAGGGTCTTCAGGTCTTCGCTTTACCGGGGGCTCGCACTCCGCAAACACCCGAACGGTACTGCAGAACGATACGAAATTCGGTGGTGCAAACAAGAACAACAACCGCGCAGCAGTGCCGTCGATGATGACCTCGGCGGCGACGATGTCGCCAAGATCGGCGACAACGACTACGGCCACATCAGCACCACGAAGACCAACAGCGACAGCCCAAGGAGCACCAGCAACAGCAAGAAGAACGCAACAAGAACACCAACACAACCCCCACCACCGCCCGATCACCATCGCCACCGCACCTACCACTGGTAGCCTACCACCACGAACAACAACAGCAGCCTCAACAGCAGCAACGAAAGCAGCACCCGGACAACAACCAGAAAGCATTGCAACATGAAGAGCGCGAACGATGCCTATGACAGCAACGCAAACATATAAACACAAGCCAACTGACGAACGGTGGTGGCAACAACAACAGCAGCAGCAGCAGCAGTCCATCAACGACAGCGGCTACATGCATGGCAACAGCATCAGCATCATCAGCAGCTGCATCTTCATCCACGGCAGCAGCAGCAGCAGGAGCAAACAGAGCGAGAAACGATGATAGGAGTAAAACAATAAACCCAATCAGCTGGAATATCAGAATATCTACACCAATGTAAACCTGTCGGAACGCAAAGACTCGACATACTGCACCTCGGGGTCGGATGGGGATTTCCAGGTAGGGAGGGGGGATTTTCTTATGCATGGCAAAGCCACGGGCTACGAGGGGCTTAGACTTGGCTTGCCACACTTGTGTGCTTGCAGAGACAAGGCACACATCAATGTTCTGCCCGACAGCAATCCGAAGCGGGAAGGGCAAGAGCAAGTCCTGAGCTGCCGTCGACCATTCCACCCCCTACGGAGCCTCGCTTGCCCGTGCTCCGTCTTCAGGATTACACTCAACACACCAGTAAACTTCCTGTGAAGAGCGTGCCGAAGAGCAGAACTCGCTGAATGAGCCGGCACAAGCCCTGCTGTCAGCAGCTGCACAAGAAAACACGCATGCACAAGCAAGCACAAACACACTCTGTCAGACACAGTCATAAACACGCAAATGCTGATGCATGTACAGCTCACAAGGAGGCCGTGCAAAGTCTTTATCAAGCCAGTGTCTTTGGCTCTTTGCCGCATGGCCGCCGTGATGGACTCTACCTGCTATCCAATACACTGCCAGTCACAGGTCGCGGTTTCGGGAGGCAACGTTTCGCCTGCAATCCGATATTGCGTTGATCAAAGGAGCTTGTTTGTTATGCAGCCTGTTCTACATGCTGTTTGCTTTGATTTGCTTACAGGGCCCGATTTCTTTAAAGGCTTTTGCCTTATTCTGAAGATGCCGGATTGGAAAGGCGCGTGTACTGATGCTCAACTTTCGTCCTCCAAGATGTGTTCACTAAGCAACTGCATTCAAAGTGCATCTGTCGCGGCCGGAGGTGAGGCCAACGGCTTTCGCACTCTGCTGCCAGGACAAGTGGGAGTGTCTATAATTCTCGCATGTGGGGGCTTCTGTGCTTATCACAGACAGTGCAGAACTGAACTATCTAAGGGACCTGCCATCTTTGGAACCCTACTGAGGACACAAGCCCCTTCAAACGAGTCGTCCAGGATGCTCTGGTTATCTATTGGTATTCGCTCCCGTTTCTGCTACTGCCATGGTGCGATTACGAGGAACACGCCAAGACTTAAGGGCGAGGTGTGTGGTCTGTACCATCCTCATCCTAATGTGTGGCTGTCAGCCCTGCGGCACTAATTGTGTTTCCCCCTCAAAACCTAAGCCCTGAACCCAAGCGCAAGACACCAAGCTCCTTTCGGCTGCTGCCTTCTTGACAAACTCCATCGACAGCGGCTGCTCATTTCCAATCTCTATGACGAAGAGCTTATAAGCTTCTTTTCTCCTGAGAGAGAGTGCGGGTGTGAGACAATGTTTTTTTTTTCGGCGACCTTGAAAAAGTCATCTCGTTCGGGCTTTGCTGTCGGATCAGGGATTCTCAGCCTCTTCAACGCAAAACCCCGAGACTCCCCTAACATCCTCAAAACTGCAATAGACAACCCCCCTTAAAACGTCGAAGCACCACCTCCAAAACCCAAAACCCTAGAACCCAGCTCCCACCCTTCAAGACTAGCTGCAGAAGCTGAGCAAGACGTGATGCTAAACCCTCGCTGCCAACCTGCGAATGACGCTTGAGAGCTGTTAGTCCCTTTGCCCTCAACCTCAAACCCTTGCGCTTTTGCCTTTTATTCGATGTCTTCCCCGAGCCTACAAATTCGAGAAACAAAAAATGAGAAGTGCTTCCATAAACAAGCAGAGCCCGGCAGGGCTCATGTGTTCTCTTCATTTCAGAAGAGGTGGCTTTGCAACTCTCGCTGTTTTGCAGCCCAGCATCCCGTCAAGTGCGCGCATGGAGCCCCAGGTCGTGTTGGGAGGTCCATGGCAGTACCTTTTCAAGTCGGGAGCTAGTTCGAAAACAAGGCATTGGGGAAGGGTTTTGCATGTGAGGCACCCGTGTTTTGCAGTGGATTGGGACCATGCTGTGCTGTGGGCACGTTCCACCTGCTGTCGCTTGTGTCATCGCAAGCAAACAAACATTGGGATTGTCCCGAATTCAATCTCAGTGCTTTGCGGGCAGACGTAGTCTGCTAGGTAGGACGAATGAATGAAGCACTGCACATTTAGCAAGTCTGATACACACGTGTGAGCTGGGCTGTTGATTTCAGGAGAGATGTCTGTGACGCGTGTAACTCCATAGGAATTAAGGGAACCATGGTCAGTCAAGCATCTCCACGAAATCTGCCATGTCTGTTGGATCCTCCTTAGTATTTCTGACGCTTGCTGGATCCACAACTTTGCATGCAAAGTACATCCAATTATGCCTCATCACTGCACCAGAGTCGCGTTGCTGTTCATCGTGATGGCGCACTGAACCTGTCCGTAACGAGCACGGCTCGTTTGAACACCAGGTCGAAGGCCATGGGCTAAACCCTGCCTTCAAGTCGAAAGCCCTTGGCCCCGCGATGCAGTCCGACAATCTGCACGTTGTCATCTATATACATGTATATATATATATACTCTTAACTTATATTTATATTATATATATATACACATACAAATATCATAATATATTGTACCATATGGACATGAACCCTGGAGTCTCAGCTCCAGACACTGCAAACTGGAAAGCCCCAGATCAAGTACCACGGTGTCTTGGAGCCCTTTGCCTTCTGGCTTTTTGGGAAAAAAACACAGAAAGCGGTGGCCTCTGCAACTTCACAGAGCTCCAAAACCTCGAAGATCCTGAAGCTGGAGGACCTGCAACTCACCGAGGATAGAGGGTTCGGGCATGAAGCTCTTCACCTGTCAGAAGCCCTGAGCAAGGTCGATAAGCAGGAATCGCTGTAGGGCTTTGTAGGGTTCAGGGTTTAAGAAGTTTAAGATCAACTATGAAGTGCTATGTTCATGTCGGCTTATTGCCCAGCATGAAACATGGAGACAACATGTAACCAGGGGTTGCAGGTGGGAATCCCAGCTTTTCCGGGCAGGGAGAGGACAGGACAACGACCTGGACACAATACGTACGGACGCAGCTGGAAGGTACAGTAAGCAGCAAAGAATCATCGAACCGTTCATCCCAATGTTGTCTACGTTGTTGAGCCAAGCTGCGCCACAGGGTGCCAGAAGCCCCTGTAAGCATCCCGCCGGGTGCCACGGAAGTTCTTCCAGGAATAGCCCGCGGCATTACACATGCTGCCACCTGCATTGCGTCATGAATCCACCTCAGCCCTGAACCTTATAAAGCCATTCAGAATCCAATTCAGACAAGGCTTCATCGCCAAGAAAATGCAAAGCCGCGAAGTCCCGGAATGCAGTACCCACCTCCTACACTAATGAAGGTTTTTGGGCGAGTCGGATTTTGTGGTTGGCGGATTTATCCCCTGCCAACTGTGGGGATGTTGCCACCCCCTAATTACACACAAACCTCACGATCAAGTGACATTGAGAGCCCGGAGATGCGATCCCAGGAATGATGACAGAGGCCTAAACGAAGAAGCTCCCAGCCGGCGATGTTGAACATGGCTTCAGCAACGTCCTTTCGAACAGGCCTTCAGTTGAAGGGCCGTTTAGGGATTTGGGTTTAAGGAACCCTAATCCCTCCGCCATCTAGAGTCTAGAAGTAGCATGGCGGATGTCTCTTTTGAGGTTCTGGCTACTGGCAGAAGCCTAGGCCTCGTGTAGCTGTGAGGGGTACATGGCCAGCCTGCTATTCTGTGAATAAAGGGCGTTGTGGGTTGTTAAGTTGGCTTCTGGGGATTTGGGGGTCTGCCCTGGCCGGATTTCCTGCTCATCTGCACGCGCACGTGCGCAATTCGTTGTAGATGTATGTACCAGGTCTTGCATATGTATACTCGAGACGATCACACTCCGCCCAAACCAGATATCCTCATCTGCGCAACCACCATCTCATGCCGATCCCCACCACGCTGAAAACCATGAACAAACTACAAGTTTGCATCTGCAGCTTGCGAGACAAGCTGTTGGCGGCCAAGCACTGAAAGTACCGATCCCAAGTGTGCATTGAAAATAAACCATAGCAGCTGCTGAGCTGCATGAGAAACCAGTTTTCGACAAGTCCTAGCCTCGCTATCGAACAGCAGAAACCAAGAACAAACTTGATTCAAGGTAGAACACTCCCTGGTGGACACCAGGTCCAAAGCCTCAGATTCTTTCTAGGCCGAAAGATCCAGTAGTTCAATGGGCTTCATTGGAAAAAATCTCAAGAAGTTGCCAAAAGTGTGCAACGGTGGTGGGGAAATAGGGAGCGCGAGTGTCTTCCATACATGACAATAATCAAGTAGAGCCCTAGGCTGTCAAGCCATTTAAGCACCCTTCCTTCATTCAGGCCCAGCCGCAGCCCTCGGAAGCGCCCCCAGGAGCCTGGTTGCAGGGAAATCGAGTCGATCCGCACGGGAGCACCTGTGCTGCACCGGGCGTCCGGCATCAAGCTGGAGTGCGCGCGCAGACAAACACACACAGAGACCAACACCGACACACGGACAGTTGGATGTTTACATTTGTACAAAGAGCTCCACGAACTAAATACACCAAAAGACATTATCTGCGTATATCTTGTTTATATGTTTTATGTTTGTTTCTTATCTCATTATATACCTATATGTATACAGTGCATGATATATGCACGATATATGTACAAATAAAGCATGCAGCGCCCTGAACGCTTGAGCCCCCCAGGCGCCCCGAACGTCCAGGCTGATGCCGCCTGTGCACCTGCAGTGCGCAGCCCGCGTGTTTGTGGAGGCTTTCGGATGTTCTGAAGTGCTTCAGATGCTTATAAGGCCTCGGCATTCTCATGCTTGAAACTTACGACTCATCCCTTTCTGCTTCAAACATCACGGATGCGTTCATGGTTGGTGGCCACTTCGGAGTTGGGATCCATGAGGAATTCATGCCTCGGGTGTTGGGTCGTCGGCTTAGCGCCCGGTTAGACCGACATTTCCGGAAACTTCGGCGTCCGGGGCTCGGGATGCCAGGCAAAAGTCTGCAAATCTGGACCGAGAATACGGAAGCTGTTTCTGTGTATAGCAGGAGCATGATGCAAAGTCGCATATGTATCTCGAAACGCATTGTGTACATGCAGGTACGCATACCAGCATGACATGTGATGACATGTCTAGGCATTGAACCTTCGGCAAAGTGAACCGTTATGTTGCCGGAGGGGACAGCCATGGTGCCATGTACCTGTGTACCTGTTCTTGTGTGTTCTGCATTGAGGCCGTGGAGAACGGCCTTCATATTGAGGTTCGAGGATGGGTGAGAGGAAGAGCGCCAACCAACAGCTTCGTGTGTTTAGAGCTCGCGGTGGAGGAAAGCAAGGAACATCAATCAAACAAGCCCGTGAGGGTTCCAAAGTGATGGTGGCAACATGCAGACTTCATCGTCTAGTCTGGATGCACTGCGTGCACACGGCCTGTCATAAACTAAAGTATTCATCAATAGTTGCTAGGCCGTGAAACTCACTCTGTCAAGCGAGCCCGGTGCACGGCCCTAACCCCCTGAACGGCCCTAAATTCATGGGCTGTGTGGTGAGAGCTTCATGGGACCTTGTACGCACTTGCTCTCTATAAAAATAGCAAAGATCCCTGCCTCTGATCATGCTGGCGCTCTGAGGGGCACAATTTGGCAATGACTGCTTATCGAAGCTCCCATAGTCTCGACCTGCTCCCTGAACCCTAAACCCCAAAACCCGAAATCTGACAAAGTCTCCATAAAAACCCCAAACCCCGATACCCTAAACGCTAAACCTTAAACCCCAAAACCCTAAACCCTACACCTGCTGTGGGGAGATGGGAGCCGAGGTGCTGGTAGCAGCCCGATTGCACTTCCTGGCGTGGGAGCACCCCGGGAAGCGGTCCGTCGACGTTGAAATACCAGCGTCAACGGTTTAGGGGCTTAGGGAACCAAAAGACACCAAACCCTCTGCCCCAAACACTTCAATTTCCTGCATCCTTTCTGCAAGTATTAATAGTTTAATGTTTTCAAAATCTTCCATAAACCTGGGAGAATGTCAGAGACCCCCGCGACATGGGATGGTCCAATAGGAACAACCATGCACCGGGCACCGGGATCGCAGTGCTGTACCCGCAAAGCTTGGCGCGGGGAACGAAGCTGCTGTTCCTTGGCGTTTGCACTAGAGTAGCACTACTAGCAGTGGTAGCAGCAACACCGGAAATCGCAGTAGTAGTAACTATCATCATGGTACCCTGCGGGAAGATGCGAGTACGGTAAGAGTCAATGATGATACTGACAGCACTTCGGAGCAATTATTTCATGGTACAGACATGGTGCAGTGTAGAAGTCGAAACGAAAGTAAGACTGGCAAGACCAATTCCCGCATCAATGTAACTAAAGCATCAAGAAAGCAATGGTGCGCAAACCCATAAATCGCAACACTACTTCTTATAAGGGCAAGTATAGTAGGGTGAACAACGGCATTCAGGAAACACAGATCCAGTCCTGTTTCTTTGAGTACTCCTTGTTATTGGATCCCTATCAGAAGGTTGGCCCTCAAACATCTGCCGCAAGCAAGTCGAGGGGCTAAGACGGCGAGGTACAGGATCAAGGGTTTAGGGGTATAGGGTTTAGGGGTTAGGATAAAGGGTTGCAGCACAACAATATATTCCTGACCAGTTTTTGGAGCAGCTGCTTTGGTCAGCGCCGACTTGCTAAGACTCTATGGACTGTGTTGAGCTGACGCCACAAATTTCAAAGCCAGCGACAGAGGCAAACAATCGCCCGATCCGACAACGAAGGCACTTAGCATCCGAAGCCCCACAGCTCTCTCTCTCTCTCTCTCTCTCTCTATCTATATATACATATATGTGTATATATAGATAGATAGATAGATAGATAGATAGATAGATAGATAGCTAGATAGATAGATAGATAGATAGATGCCGACGCCCTTGTCTCCCAGACCTCGCAAGCTCGGACTGAACAAAGAATACAACTAGAGACCACGAGCTCAGGCTCTTTTCCATGGTTCAGGGTGTTGGATTTAGTCTAAAAGGGGATGGTACATACATGTTGAGCCACATTTGTGTCGGAGCTCGCAAGACATTTCGGTGGTTTGGGCTCGGAAATACGCCGTCAAGCCACGGCATTGCCATGGCGCAGAAACTGGATGCAGCCGGCGTGAGCACAAAGTCCAGGCGCACCCTCGGGTCTCACAGAAGCTGTCGAACTTTCACAAAGCCAGGCCGTCAACATCCCTGAGTTTGTCTAGTAGAAGTCTCAACATCAAAACCTCGCCGTGAACTCCAACCAGAATCGTGGTCCTCATGACGATACTCTTCCCCACGTTTGCAGTCTGGGTCTCCAAGTGTTGGAGCTCTTCAACTGGAAAGTTGTAGAGTTCAGAAGCTGCCGCCGGCCGTTGTGTTCAGCGACGAGAGACACGCTGAGTGTGGCAGACCCATCCGCTTTTGCGTACAGGAAGCCACGGTAGTCCTGGAGCCAATGTAACTCTGGACATGGACCTCTTGGTCTTGCAGAAAATCCTTGTTGAACATTGCGGTGTGGCCTACAGTCTAAGCTGAAGTGAGGCCACACAAAAAACGCTCCAGTTTGTAGAATGCTTGTGAATTCCATGACCAAAAGAAAGTAGTAAAACTCGCATTGTAACATGTACATATAGTAATCACGAAACTCATGAACGTATTACCACTAATAAGAATCATGCTGATGTGCGGATTCTTCTCAAGCCCTGCCATTCCCTGACAGACTGTGGATCCGAACTCTGGAGAGGGCACAAGCACTTGAGACGGAGACCTGGTTAAAGACCCTGAGATCCTGAAATTCAGAATAGGGCTCTCGGGTAGGATATACAGCTGTACTATAGGATCGGAATCTTCTTGCCCATTAAAGTCGGAAGCAGGCATCTTCATTCCCATGGAAGCAATAGCATCTGATCATCCGCGGTTTCGAGGGTTTCTGTTTATGTTTCGTTTGGGGTGCAGGTTAAGCTGCAGCTCGTGAATTGTGGCTCCTTGCCCGCAGCAAAGTGCATGCCTTGCTGTCCCAGGCCGAAGTTGGCGATGGCACCATTCTGAATCAGCTGGCTCTGGTTGCCTGCAATACCATACTATACTATACTACACTATACTGCACTATACTCATGACTCTACTAGACTAACTCTACTACAATATGAGATTATATACTGACTAAATTTGAATCAGCGGCTCTGATTGCCTGCAAGAGGCCTTAGGGTGGGATCGCCCAGCCTACGGTCCTAGCAGGATTCCAGCACATCTCAGAAGGGGCCAGGCTGAAAAAGTAGTTTGTAGCAGGGACATGGGGGGGGGGTGGAGATGTGGGGTATCTTCTCCCAGAGGGCCCCAGGCACAGTTATGGGAATGCTTCCTCAACTCATAGCGGTAATTCCCACTGTGGAAACCCCTATATTCTACTACACAGGTATTGTGGGCCCTTTGCAACCAATCGGGGATTCAAGTGAGAGGTGCAGGAATTAGTCGTCGTACTCTTCCTTACGTCGTTAAGGGTTACGTCGTTAAGGGTTCCGGGCTGCAATAAGTTAAAATTATACCACCCCCCCCCCCCAAAACAAAGCAAAAAAACAAACTATGTGTGGGCACACCCAAAACCATCAATCCTGGCGCTGAACTCGCAATTACGGTAAGCACTGGAGGACTCACCGACATCTTGACGCCGGAAGCCCTGCCCCCCCCGCACACCGCTGGGAGCCCCCAAATCCCAAACCTGAACTTCGAAACCCCCATATGAGTATAGAGATGATTACCAACGTGACTCCTTAAAGGGTTTCGTAGAGGTTTCATACACCCGTACCCAAAGCCCTGTTCCAAAGATCCAAGGGCCCTGAGGCCCGGACCATGAAATCGGTCGAAGGACACGTTGAAACGAGAGCTTTCAGAGGCCGCCCAGACTTTCCACGTGGGCCTTGTGAGCCCTCGCCTTCGGCGAAGGGAAGCTCGGTGTTGGAGCTCTTGAAACGTCCCAGGGATGGGATTCTAGCGGGTTTAGGGTGTAGGGCTTAGGGTTTAGGGCTTAGGGTGTAGGGTTTAGGGCTTGTAAGGCTTAGAGTTATGGAGTCTACGGAGTCTACGGCACAAGAGGGCCTGCGGATATGTTGGCCTTGGTCCATTGGTTTCGGCCCTGAACTTCCTGTAACACCGCCTTGGCACCATACTACGCCTGCTTTGTAGAGGTCAACGTAAACTCCAAGAAAAATTCGAACCCTCTGCGAAACTAAACCCTACCTGAAGGAGCCCTTGAGATCTCCCTGAACCTTGACTTGGGCTTCAAGCGCACTCTTTGCAAGTGGAGATACAACAATGAGTTTCTGCTCTCGCCGTGTATGGCATCGAAGTCCGAAATCAGCTGCAGGAGCTGAAAGTCTCAAGTCACATATCTGAAGATGCTGGACCTGTGCTGTGTTTCGTGAGAAAGCTCAAGCAGGGCCAATGGCATTCGCAAGCCGCACGCCCGGGACTGAACCCTAAACCGTCCTGTTGAAACCCTAAACCCCTGTAGGAAACTTGACCTCAAACCCGTCTGGAATGCAGCAGGCATCCAACTTGTATTTTCGTTGCACCTGTTGAATTCAGAACGGGAAAACTCCGACCTGAAACTTCAAACTCTGGTCGAAACGAGAGATGATTTGCCACTAAAGAACCATGACCCGCTGCTGAAGAGCTTGGGATGAAGGACTCACCCATGCCGCCCATGCCTCACTCAGCTCAGCCCATGCCCAACATCCGAAGCCCATATCGCCAAACAAACAAACCTACATACATACATACATACATACATACATACATGCATGCATGCATGCATGCATGCATACATACATACATACATACATGCACACATAGACGCGTGGATACATACGTAAATTAGACCTAGATAC